CGGAATGCCTTGGTTCTGTTTGGTCCATGGTTCACCGAGATGACACAAGGCAACAGCAGCACATCAATTCGGCTCATATAATACGCGTTAGGCTGCCGTTTGCCTTTGTGGAGTTCTAGGCACTTCCAGGAACCTGTCCAAATGTGTTCAGGATGGTGACAGATTTTTTAAAAAGCGTTTCGAAAGGATGACAGCAAGCCACATTTTTATGAATACGTACAGCACACGTACACGCTCAAGACTATTTGTCTTGCACATCCGCAGTGCACAATGGTGTCTTGTCTCACACGTGTGCGTGTTTATCACGTTATGTTCCCTCGTTGCTATCGTGCATTAGCATCTCCCCAACCCTAGTTTCTTCTACGACTTTCTGCACTTCGCCTTTCTGGAGACTGTTGCCACACATTAACGCATCACCTTGCCCTGTCGAGCTCATCTGAGAACCTCATAGGACAACAGTGACATGGCTGTGGGAAGGCATTAAGACGATGGGCGCACTGGTGAACGGCCGTTAAAACCCCATACGTTCTCAGGAATTTCTCAAGCTTGGCAGGAAAGAGAAATGTACTGAGTACGGAAATGTACTGAGTACGATTTGCATTTAAGTGACCAGTTATACCGCATTGCAGGTCCCATTAAGCCAGGCCTCAAGCACTGGAACCAGCTGATGAACCAAAATTCTCTGCATACAGGAGGGAAACGAAGGTTTACAAGCAGAAGCGCGGCTTGTCGCGCCCACAGTCGAGAGCCACTCATTTACGTGATCCCACGTGCAGTGCGCACTAGCTCCCATCCTTAACGGTTAGGGACAGTCCATAAAGAGACACCTCCATGCTCGAAGCACTGCTGCGATTTCGCCGTATTAAAGGGCACCTGTCTGAACCTCCCCAGTCTCCGGTGACAGGTGGAGTAAGGCAATTTAAAAAGTTCACGTTTAGAGAAACGGCGCACGGCCCAGTTCTGGCAGCCAATCAGAGGCCGGAGACGCTCTCGGCGACGCGTCGCCCCCGTGAGGATCCCATACCGTCACGGACAAGAGGCTAAAGAGAACGGCGGCTGCATAATTCACAGCCTCTCGGAGCAGCACGGGCCCCGCCACTCTGTCAGCGCCTCTCCTTCAGGGGAGATATTTCCATCTAGCCAGATGGCGAAAGCCGATGTGGGAGACGCTGACGAGTCACCGAGTTTAACGCTAGAAATCGCTGCCCAGTTATGCAGCCGGAAAAACAAAACCACGGACAACTGCTAACAATCTGCGCATTCTTCACGAGCATATTGTCACAAAACAAACACGCGCGCACGCCATTTGCCCATCTTGCTCCCACTGCACCAGCACGGTAAATACGAAAGACTTGTCAGCTGCCTTAAAGAGCTCGGCACATACGCTTCAGAACCTCGGGCCCAGGATGAACCCTATCCGCACCCCGAGACGGTTTCTACGTCCCCCCAACAACACAGAGGCAAGACTTTTACAGATACAGTCTTTAAATTATCACTCCTTTTGCTTGATGTAGTCAAAGGTCTGCCTGGGGTGAGTTTGATGTGGAGAATCATTAAGGTGCCCCCCCACCCCCACAATGTCCCACTACATGGGCCAGGTACTCCCCTTGCTAAATTTTACTGACAAAATCCCTCAACACAACTACCCCCCGAGTTGCATACCAGAACAATTTCACACCTAGTGTTTACATTGGGCTTATCCACAGCTATGATAGGTGGTTTTTCTGAATCAACAGCCCACACATGAAAAGGCATGTACAGACTGCACTCCTGTAATGATGCATTTAGATCTTCCTTGACCTACACCACGGCAAATCCATCAGTTACTGTATCTCAATCCTAAGCAGTTTTAAGTAAAAGCTAATTAAATGCTACCTGGGTTGATATGATGTTGCATTGCAGTGTTAATGCCCGTTAAAGACATTTAAGCGCTTCTGAGTGATGCTTAGAGAGGAGACAGACAATTACATTAACTGCAGCGATGGTTCAGAGACACCCGCATCTCCAAGGGCTTTAGTACGCAGAGTTTCCCAGAGACCGTAGGTTGAGTTCGGTGCTAAGGGCCCAGCTTCAAAGGGCTGAGAGAGGCGAGGCCTCCACTAGCTTTACAATTTTCAGCACCGAATACCACAGATGTGGCACATATTACGACGGTAAAAACAAACATTCACAGTCACGGTTTGAGTTAACGTCCCTATTCCCCATATGACCAATTACGGTTAACGACTTTTTCCCCTGCTTTAGAGGATAAGAAAAAAAGTGCCACTGGTCTATTGAACATTATCACGACCAATGCCTTGAACACACCTTCAAACTAGGGGCGAGTAATAGCATTATGCTACAGGCCTGACGCATTACGGAAATACTTAAACGGGCACCGACGAGCACAGAAAGCGCAGGCAGCCAAAGCGACCTGGAGGATATGGTAATAGTTTTTATCACTACCTCCAAATTCAGTCAGAAATTTTATTTTAATAAAATCAGTACTGGAGCTAGTCCTCTGGCGGCAGCACCAAAAAGGGCCGCGGGCTATGGACGATGGTCCTAATGAACGCCTGTCACACGCTTCCCGGACACCGAACAGGTGTCAGCGGTCAATTGCCTGAGTCAGAACCAGTCAGAAGCCAAATGCAGGAAACGTGAGGAACAACCTTAAACAGCAGGCAAATTCTCTCCAGCCTCTCAGTATCACATATTTTTAAAAAATTATATTTATATACATAACTGACGTCCCCTGCAAAATAAAAGGCCTGCCATTTTCTAACATAAATTGCTATAGGTAAATTGTTAAAAAAAAAAAAACGCCCCCAATCACCTGCACAGACACATTTTGATCCAAAATACACAGACTGGAGGCACAGACTGCAAAAGGGAATCACTTCTTCACTTCCCACCGTGTCTGTGCGCAGGTCTAAGTGCGGTGAAGGTTTCATACAGCCTAAAAAAATATATACCAAATTGACAGACAAACTGGATCCATGTGGCGTAATAATGGGCTGTGAGCTGCATTTGATGTCAGAATCGGCGTCATTGTGTGTTAATTTCCTCTCCAACTGTTTAGCAACAAAGCAACACGGTGTCAACCGATTAAAAGCCTTTGGAGCGATGTTTTACTTACAATTAGCTGTGTTAAGGCAAACTTTACCGCACATTTAAAACGACACACTGACGGGTTATAAATATATTCACTTAGGCCGCTACTTATTTTTTTAATCCTAACTTCCCACGCCACAGACACAGGTGCCGGTAATTTATTCAGGCACAGATTAAACCTTTATCGCGGTTACATTAAACCAGAACTAGTGATTTAGAAAGCCCAGGTTACTACAAATTACCAAAGAAAACACTTGACTGCCAACTTGCCTATATCGCTTAGTCGCATTAAGCTGTAAAAAACAGCCCAAAGATCCCCGATACTCAAACAGCCTGTATCATATTAGTACCTAGATATTTTTTTTAAATCACGCATATTTCTAATACAAGTGCCGTCCATCGGGTGTTAAGCGGCGGCCCCGTTCACGGCGCTTGCATGCCGCGCCCATGGCCGGCTCCCCGGAGCCCTGTATAAAGAAGCAGGCATTAACTTTGCAGGAGTAATTAGCGAAAATTCGGTTTTTAATCGAGTAGTAAAGACAGACACAGCGTGTGGACGCCTCGCCGCCTATCCTGCATGCAAACGTCTTGGGGGTGAACCTTTAGTTATAGTGCAGGAGCTGCACGTCGGTTGCACCATGTGTATTTATCTACGCAAACTTCTCCGTTAGTTAATGCCCCCCGGGGGCGTTTATGTTCTACGTACCTTCACTCCTATGATAAGTTGCTCAGTAATAACTGTAAGGGAGCCGCACCACGCCGAGCGCCCCGTCGCCCGTCTTCATTGCAGACTTACGGAGGTGGAAGGAAGGAGCAGGCGGCGGGAAATTGGCGCACCGACGCTACATTAGTAATGACTAATTAAGACAATCGGGCTTCAATATAGCAATCAAGCCCAGAGTATCTATGCTGGGTGCAGGATCGGAAGCGTTCGATCCAGATAGAGATATACCAGGAGCAAATCGAAGGGTCTGTGCTACGGATTAACTTGCAACGAGGAATAAATATGGCCAAGTGCCTGACCGGTGTCCGTATAATCACCATGCAGCCATTAATGCAAGAGTTTAATCAGCCAAGGGCTGGGAAACGTGGCTCAGAGTCTCGATCATCACCTATACGGCAGTAAACGTGGGGATTGGAAGCAGGGCCATACGCATTGCGCTACATATAGTGGCTGCGATTTTTTTTTTCTTTTTTCAAAGTGAAAAATGATTAAGACGTCAAACGTGCCTCTGATGTTTGTCATTAAAAGGTGCTCATCAGAAAACGTTATCGAGAGCGAAGCAGCACAGAGATCGTGCAGAAATAAATCCGCAACGCCACTTCTCTGGTCACCCCACATGTGCAGGTAGCGTTATCATCAGCCATTAGAATCACTACATTAATTGTGACTATGAGGCTACGGCGTGTTCACCGGGACACCGCTGTCCATCCTGCGTGCACCGCTTTCAGATCAGCTCGCCCATGACACGTCTGGCCAGGTAGAGTTAAGAGTCGGCTCCGTGCATTCTTGTATCTCTCCAAAAAAATGAAATGCACAAAGGAAAAAACGCAGATTCTTCGTAATATATATCTGTACCAAGAAGCTCTGCGATCTACATCTGTCACACCACTGATACAATGTAACCTTATGGATGATGGAGCAACCGACGCATATGCGCACTGCATTCAGCGTTACTCCTGCATCCCAACTTCAATCAAGTGTCATTCAAACACCCGAAGAAACAAAATACGAAGAACTACAGAATTAAACACTGGCTGCAATATTAGTTACGATCCCGCTGTCAAGTAAACATATCGCTACAATTTAGACGTAATGGCAATGAACAAGTAAACCAATGACCCGGCCACCTAAATGTCAGCATCACAACAAATTTCTTTGAGAAGAAACTTTAAAAACGCCTTACCGTCTCTAATGAAAGTTAAGGATGTCCTTAGTGTTAGCCAAATATAGCACTCTTTCAACAAATACACATTCAAATAATAAGCAGCATAAAAAAGCAAAATTACTTGGATAAAAAATTCGAACACAAATGAACACAATTCATTAAATAAAATATTTATTAAAAATAAAAACAAATGGGACACACGCACATATAAATTAACAACACATAACAAAACCGAATAAATAAAAGGACTGAAAATCTAAAAGAAGCGACTTCTGCCTCTATAGGTTCGCTACCAAAACAAGCGACATCACTGACTGAAAGAAAGCAAACTAAGAAAGAGGGTGTCTTTAAAGGGAAGGTGGTCCCGTCCGTGTATATATATATATAGAGCCGTATCACAGCAGCGATATACCTCTCCGCCCTATGTTGCGCAGCAGCCCTTCAATATACATTACAGCGCAAGTACGCGGAAGTATACCCTAGTAATAGTACTTTCTAGCGCTTTGCATTGGACGCTTTCACCCAATTGGCTGTAATCCGTCTCCTTGGCACGCCCACTTCGGCAACGTTGGAACGCTATTGGTCCATTTTTGTTACTCGCGGACGCCTTTGAGTATTCCACTCAAAAGTGTCAAACACAACTATTAAAAGCAGGGAAAGCGTGCTATTTTCGGCGCGTCAGAATCCTTTAATCGCGTACCGGTGGCGTCTTTCTATTACCAGGAGTATAAGAAAACTATTTTTTGTTTACTTTTTTATTGTAATACAGAGGCTGGTTTAATCCCAGTGACTTGGAACAAAATTAAAGCAAGCTATTGGAACAGACGTGGATTTTGACTAAACTTTCAATTAACAACTACTATTTTACTTATCACACGACATGCAAAAAAATAACTGATTTCCGTCTTTCACTCATGGATGTCGCTGGTAGCAGCGTGCGGTTAAGTAGATTTCTCATTATTTTGCTAATACTGATTGTAATAATAATAATTAATAATGGGTTCCTAGTTCAGTGGCGTATGAAGCATAACGAAACGATTAAATAATGATGACAGTGTGTATTTATTCAATGTAGTTTTAAATATCTGCGTACTTGTTTCTTTTTCTTCAAGAAAGAGCATGGGAAAGTTTATTTGCACAAGTATACCAAAATTATTTATTGCATTCAAGTTATGTAATTATAAAGTTGCATCGCATCATATATTGTTTATAATACTGTCTGGAGCCAAATGTCCACATCATTTACGACGTTTGCTCTGTATGCTTCTAACGGTATTCAGCACAAAAATGATTATTTTGGGGGACAAATAACGGTTTCAAACGACCTATGAAATTTTCTATGAGTCAAAGTTGCTTTTTTGCTATATGTTTTAATTTGGATGTGATGAGATAGGGAACTTACAGATTACTCTTTCTTCCCATTAATTTAATATGGATTATTAATTTCATACTGTTTACCATAATAATACTTTACTGAACACCATTGTATATTCTACTATAGGTGAAGATAATGGAATTAAAGACATATAAGTTATCCAGCATATAATAAAAAAATGTTTGTGGGCTCAGATACTTTGCATTCAATAAATTTGTCAAGCTGACATAACCCCGGCATTAGCAAACTCTTTGTTTATGTTTTCTTTACCACTGCTTTACAAGTTGTTTTCAGTCATTGCTTGTTTTCTGAGAGATGACTTCATGTTTGGTTGGACTCAGTTCGCTTATTGACTTGACCTGACAAGATGTTTTTTCTTTCCCTCAGACAGTGAACTACCCAGCATGTTGGCAGTTTGTTCTGTGTAGGCAAGATATTTCCGTTCGCTACAGAAGAGACACCTAGCTACAGCCATTATCGATTAACTTCTTCAATAAATATGAGTTAGCTTGTTTGGGGGACGTGTGAATTTCCTTTTCTATACACCCTTTCATCTTCTCATTCCTCCTGTAATTGTCAATATCATTGCCAAACTCTCCTGGCTCAATACCATTGCCACCAGCCTGTTTTAAATGGGCATTTCTGTGTTTGGTGATGATAAGCAGTTCTTACTTCGCAATCATAATTTTGGCGCCAAAATCCAGTTCGGTTTCCTTCTTCCTTCTGGCTACTAGGTTGCTGTTGGTTGTTAAGTGCACCAGTGGTCTGCGGCTGTTTCGTTGTGCCAAATTTCGATGACACTTCTTCTGATTGAAAATGTTCTGCATCCCAAACTGCATGCATACTTTTTCCCTCTGCATGTTTATGCCCCTCGTCTGTAATGGCCAGATGCAGATGTTCAAACAAGTACCTACAGCTTGCTCCATTGTCTGCAATAAGCTCCACCAAAACAGCCGTGGAGAGCACGGGAAGTCTTTATAAAATGGAGATATCTACATGCATTATAATGAAGGGGGAAAGTGATTCGTTGTCATTGTCGACACACCATATCACACAGTGTACAACAAAGAAAGCTGTCCTATGCATTTGACCCATATGTTACAACAGGGGGCAGCTAATTCAGCACCCAGAGAATAGTTTCTTGCTGAGGGATTCAAACCAGCAATCTTTTTTATTGCAAATGCATGTCCCTAACCATTAGGCCACCACATATAGCGTTTCCATAACTGCTGCTGGATTTTTTTTCAGGAGTATTAATAAATATGTCGAAACTCTAAGGCTTTTTCAGGAAAGTTATCCCCGTTGTTTTAAAGTTGCTGTTAGATGCTTTTAAAAATACTATAATGCAAAAGGTTATATTTTTTCCCCCTATTTGCCACACAGGATAGGGCTGAAAATAAAGAAGAAGTAAATTAAAAGAAGTAATTCCACATCTAGGACTGTGTTTTTAAGGGCACTTGAAATCTGTGCATCATGTGCAGCTTTTCGGGCCTCTGATCCAACGGGGACTGTTGGACCAGACATCTGTCAATCACTGGATCCTAAATGAACATGTTCAAGCAGGAAAAAGAAGCAGGATGCAACCCTGTGGATGACCAACAAACGATGGGGCTGTGGGGAGATGAGCTCTGCCGTTTGTGTGATGTTTACTCACTGTTACTGGGACCCCTGTGCTTTACAATTCTACATTCTAAACACATTACTATGTGTTTACATGCTTTCACATTAATTTCAGCACGTCTGTGTTTTTTACTGCTTAAATATGAATCGCCTAAAATCTAATGTCAGATTTTGAATTTCACTGAAACACATTTCATATCCATAATGACACGGTACAAAATACAGACGCTTCCCAGGTTACGATGGTTCGTGTTACGGCATTTTGACTTTCCGATAGATAAATATTTTTCACTTTCAGTACATTATTCAATAAATTCTTTGAGATATTCAACATTTTATTATAAAATAGGCTTTGTGTTAATGATTTACACTAGCTGTAGGTTAATGTAATTGTTCTAAGCATGTTTAAGGTAGGCTAGGATAGGCTATAATGTTTGTTAGGTTAGTTGTACTGTATTAAAATGCTTTTTCACCCTACGATAGGTTTATCAGTAACTCCGTCATTACCTGGGGAGAGGCACCAACCTTTTTGAAACTGAGAGCTACTCAGTAAATAACAAATTTGCTCAGTTTACCTTTAGTTATATATTATTATTAATGATACTCATCTATGTAAAGACACTGATCACGTTTATGATTTTATCAACAATGACTTCAGGTGGGAAACAGATAATAGCAATATTCAACTTTAAACTAGTTTACCTAAACCTATCTAAACTTCGTGCATAATAAATGTGTTTTAAATGCTTTTTTTTAGATATTGTCATTTTCAAATCTATATAAATGCAAATGTGATTAAAGAAGAATAGCAACAGGATAAAATTAAATTTTAGACTCTGCTCACTGGTGAGTTGTGCTATTTTTAGAACAGGTCCGCGGGCCACTCATGTGGCCTTTGGGGGTGTCCTGGTGCCCACGGGCACCATGTTGGTGACCCCTACTGTAAATCATTAATCCTGTTAAAGTAAAATAATCTTTTTTTTTTTTTTTTAATTCACTCAATAAAGATAAAAGTAACTGAAAAAATATATGCACAGTTTTCTAAAAGCTGTTAGGATTTCCAGTTAGCAAAGAACTGGGCAAAAATAGCCGAATCTGCTCCCAGCAGACAAACAATTATCCATATCATGGACTATTGGTCCTGTCCTCAGGTACAGAGTAAGAGTTGTTGGCAATATCATTATATTCCTCTGCAGTAGCCTTGCTTAAATGGCCTCATTAAACAATGGCAGTATAGCAAAACCACTTCTGAAGAAGTCAGGGAGCAGGTGCAGGGATGTCAAGGATCGATTTAGTTGTCTGCAGGTGAAATAAAGAATCAGAATTGCTTCCACCCTCTTTGGAAAGTCCCCATAGCACTAGAAGATTAGAAAAAAGAATCTTTTGACAACAAAGAAAGGCATCAATAGGCTCCGTTGTTCCTATTGCCCTTTTGTCTGTTTTATTTTCCGCCATTTCAACTGCATGGCGAAACAGTTTTTTTTCTTTTCTGTCAAAAAGAATGAATAGTAGTGAGAACTCTGTAGTCAAAATTCCGCTGGCTTGTATTTCTGTTTTACCGAAGCTTCTAAAAAACTATTGCTTTTTTTCTTAATTATTTAATAGAAGCTATTGCTTGCTATTTGGCCTAAAGATTTAACTGTAAAACATCCCTGTTCCATCTCTTGAGTTGCGACGGGCTTAACTCTGACTCCGAGCCATGTTTTGGAAAGCAAATCGCACAAAAATCAATAACAATTTAAGAGGAAAAATCTGAAGGCATCGATCTTTTGAGTCCATCAATACTAGCCAATGCAATTAGTCAAAGACAAAAATATGGGGAAATTGTCAATTAATCTTCACCCTTCCCAAATAACCATTACTGAAGGACATTACAGTTTTTGTCAAGTTGCTGTTACTGCACATGATCCTGCTACCAGTAATTATGGGGACAAATAAGAAGAACCATAAACATGATTGAAATAAAAAAAATATTGGCAACCACAAAAACAAACGACATATTTACAGGAAGCTAAGGCATGTTGCTTGCCTTGTGTTATTCTGTATTATACCTCTGAAGCAGGGTTAAATATTAGAGCAAATGTATGCTGAAATGGGCTAATATATTTATTTAATTTAACAATAAAATTTGTGGTGCTTCAGTTTAATTTAGTTGGATGTAAACTAAATCATTTCAAATGACCTCATCGTATTGTGCATAATGACAAAAGGACGTCCCTACTGATAGATTTTCAGAAAGTGTCACCTCACAGCATGCAAACCCTCGATAACAGATCAGGCCACGGTTGAACTGCAGAAGTTGGTCACGTGACCATTCTTGCTCCATTTTGGCAAACTGAAGTCCTGTGTGCAGCTTTCTGTTCAGA